TCCCTGCTTGCTCGTAGAGCAGCGCCAGCGCCGTCAGGTATTCGAACGACTGGGGCTCTAGCCGCGTCGCCTCTTCTAGGGCGCCAACCGCGTCGGCGTTCCGCCCCAACAGGTACAGCAGCATGCCACGTTGGTAGTGCGGGCGTCCCGACTCGGGCAGCAGCTCGCTATCGCGCTCGAGCAGCTCGACCTCTTCTTCGCGGAGCTCACGTATCTCTTGCTTGTCGGCCTGCCCCGATTGCTCAAGCAGCCGGGCCACTTCGCTACGAGGGCCGGACAAATACGGCTCCATGCGAATCGCGTCTCGCAGCGAGGCGATTGACTTCCGCACGTCGCCTTGGCTACGGGCCAGCTCCGCCAGGCGTAGGTTCGGCCCGGCGCGATCGAAGAGGACGGTCGTGTCTTCGTCGTACTCGTCGATCAGCTCCTTCAGCTTCTTGATCTGCTGCGGCTTGCGGAGCGTGTTCGGAGCCCGGATCGCTAGCGCATCGACCGCCGCGTTACGCACCAGCCGCGTTTCGTCACTGAGCATATCACCGATGTCGTCGGCGTGACTCGCCACAGCCTCCGATGAGAGCGAGCCCACCGCCGCCGCGCGGACTAGCGGGCTCGGGTGGTCGAGCGCCTCACGGCAGAGGTCGTCGCTCTGCGGCGTCTGGAAGTTCGCCAGCGCCCGCAGCGCCGTCGCGCGGACGATGTCCGGCGTACGGCGGCCCGGCAACGGCGCCTCGTAGGCCAAGAGGTCGGAGATCTTGCCGACGGCGTCGGGCCGACCCTTCCAAGCCGCGTCGAGCGCGCGGGCGTAGTGCGGGTCGTTGGGGCGTTTTGGGCCGTACCATTTCTTAATCGCCTCGGCGGCCCACGCGGCGTCCTCGCCATCCTTCGTATGGCAATCGTTGCAGGCGTTGGGCGTGCCGAGCTCGACGCTCAGGTCGGGCCGCGGGATTCGGAAGCTGTGGTCGCGGCGCCCGTCGTTGACCATGTAGTGCCGTTGCGGCATGTGGCAATTCACGCACAGCGATCCCTGAGGATCGCTATGGAAGTGGTGCGCCTTGTTGTCGTACTTCTGATGGCATTGGGCGCAGAGGGCGTTCCCCTCGTACTTCAGCTTCAGCGAGTGCGGGTCGTGGCAGTCGCTGCACTTGACGTTCTCGTGGTACATGCGGCTCTGCAAGAACGAGCCGTAGACGTAGACCTCATCCTCGATCTGCCCATCGGCGTGGTAGAGCCCCGGCTCTAAGAGCGCGAGGTCGTAGTGATCGAAGTAATCGTCACCCGCGTCGAAGCCGCCCGCCAACACCCCGCGTCGCGAATGGCACGGCGCGCACGCCGCGATTTGTGCGGTGTTCGATTCCTGCTTGAGCTTCGCCAGCCCGTAACCGTGCCGTCGGTCCCAGAACAGCGAGTTCGCCTCCGCCAGCTCGACGTGCATACTCCCCGGCCCGTGGCACGCCTCGCAGCTTACGTCGATCTCATTGTAAGTCGTGTGGTAAGTATTGGCCTTGAGATCGAAGTTCTTCTTGAGGTCCGTCGAGTGACACTCGGCGCACATCGTGTTCCAGTTCTGCGCCAGGCCCGTCCAGTGGAGCGGGTCGTGCGGGTCGAGCTTCAATTCGACCGCGTCGGGAGGCGGTACTTCGAACCATTTCTTCTGCTCCGTATCCCACGAGACCCGCAGCACCTGCACACGGCCGCCCTCCATCTCCACCATGTACTGCTGGAGCGGCGTGTAGCCAAAGGTGTAGGCGATCTTGTAGTCGTGGTTCTCGCCGTCGGGGCCTTCGGTGTTGACGTAGAAATCCTTCCCCTTGCGGAAAAACTTGCTGACGACGCCGAGCCGTTCGAAAGTCGCGTCGTCGAAGTCGCCGAGGACCGACTCGTCGGTGGGGAGTTCCATCGCCCGGTCGTGGTGCGACCCCTCGAAGAGCTGCGCCTCTTGCTGGTGGCAGGCGACGCAGCGATCACGGCCAACGTACGTAGCCACCGCATCGGCGGGCAGGGCGACATACCAATCGGCAAAGCACCAGCTCAGGGCAAGAAGGGCCAGGGCCGCCGCGATAAGGACGCGTTTGCTCTTCATGAAGGGCTTCCCGATGCACGAGCCAAAGGTGGCGTCACTTCGGGGGTCCTCTTGCGCGCCGCAGAAAACTCTAGCACGGGATCGCAAGGCGCCGCCAAAATCGGCGAGAGCCCTACTAACGGCAGAAAAAGTGACCCCGGCTGGATTCGAACCAGCAACCTTCGGCTTCGGAGGCCGACGCGCTATCCAATTGCGCCACGGGGCCCGGGCGAGCCCTGTAGCGTATCCCCAGGGGCCGTTTGCCGCAACGCCCGGCGCCACTCGCCGATTGGGGCGGCGGGCCTATAGTTCGACGTCGAGCCCGCGCATCCGGACTTATTCCCACACCATGCCCCTCCAGCCACCGCCGCCGACCGCCCCGCCCGTCGGACCCTACGAGGTCGAGGTCTTCTTCGACGGCGACTGCCCCCTCTGTCGCCGCGAAATCGCGATGATCCGGCGTTGGGACAAGCGGGACCGAGTCCGGTTCACCGACATCGCCGCCGCCGGCTTTGAAGCCGCCGCGTACGGGGTGACGCAGGCCCGGCTGATGGCCGAAATCCACGGCCGCGACGCCCAGGGGAACTGGCTCGTCGGGGTCGAGGTGTTTCGGCGGCTGTACGCGGCGGTTGGCTGCGGCTGGATCGTCTCGGTGACGCGATGGCCGGTTATTCGCCCGGCTCTCGACGTCGCTTATCGCCTCTTTGCACGCCAGCGGTTGCGTCTCACGGGGCGTTGCGAAAAAGGCGTCTGCGAGACTCCGGCGGCGGGCCAAAACCGACGGGCTACTTGACGGGGCAGGGCGCTGGTGGCGATCCTCGACGGATCGGATGACTCGTCAGTCAGGGGCTCGACGCCGCTGGCGCCACAAACTGTCGGCAATTGCCCTTGTCGCTGCCCGTTTCCACTCTGAGTAGAACCGCCATGATGATCCTGCGCACCGCCACCCTCGCCACGCTCGCCATCGCTTCGGTGGCGCCGGCCGTCGAGGTCGCTGAATTCGGAAAGACTCCCGGGGGAGAGATGACCCACGTTTACACGCTCGAGAACAAGAGCGGCATGAAGGTGAAACTGCTCGACCTCGGCGCCACGCTGATGGCCGCCGAAGTCCCCGACAAGGAAGGCAAGACGGCCGATGTGCTCTTCGGCTTCGACGACCCCGCCAAATACCTCAGCGATGACAACCAGTACTTCGGCAACGTCGTCGGTCGTTACGGTAACCGCATCGCCAAGGGTAAGTTCACGCTGGACGGCCAGGAGTACACGCTCGCCACGAACAACCCCCCCAATCATCTCCACGGCGGCGGCGACCGCGCGCTATCGAAGGT